TGTAACTCACACTTTAATCTCGGCTCTTTGAGAGGCCTAGATGGGAGGATTGCTTGAGAACAGGAGTTCAAGACTAGCCTGGGTAATACAGGGAGACCCCTGTCTCTACTAAAAAAATTTTTTAAAAAATTAGTCAGGCATACTGGTATGCACCTGTAGTCCCAGCTACTTGGGTCGGAGGCTGAGGCAGGAGGATCGCATGAGCCTAGGAGTTGGAGGTTGCAGTGAGCTGTGATTGCAGCAAAGCACTCCAGTGTGGCCGACAGATTGAGACCCTGTCTCAAGAAAAAAAGTAAAAAAGCACCAGAACTGGTCAGGAGCCAGGGGAGTGAGCGGGAATGTGGGCAAGAGCCTTTGTTGTGGTGTCTGTGAATAATTTCAGGGGCTCTGGGCTGTCATCAGCGATCAGGGCAAGGGAGTAATGGCTTGGGGTCTAGGAGCCCCACAGAGGAGGCGCGGTGGGTGGGGCAGGGTAGGACGGCTCACCCGTGATAGGTAAGCCCACAGGTGAGCTGCTTACAGTCTCTGGGAACTGGCTGCCCCTGGGACGGATGGTCCCTCCAGGGTCAGTAAGACTCCAGATGTCCAAGCATCAGAATGCAAAAAATGCAAGAGATGGTGAGGACAGGCAGGGGCCATGTCACCGCCTGCAAGTTTGCGGGCTGTCTGCAGTTGGGGGCCTGGGGTGGGCAGCCTTCCTCTGGGAAGGCCGTAGCCATTATTCTTGCCAGAGGAAAAGCTGCCTTCTTTATACTCCAAGGACAGGGACCTCCAGGAAATCCAGGTTTCTGAAACCAACAAGCCATTTTCCTCTGAAGGTGCCAGCCTTTGCCAGGCTGGGCAGCAGACCTGGAGGCCAGAGCCGTCCGCTGCTGCATCCCCAGCCCCTGCTCCTGCCTGCCTTCGTCCTGCTGCCTGTCTTTTTAAAAGCTGCAGCCCAGCCCTCCCTCCCGCTGGCTTGCTGTGTGGTGAGGAGTTTCCTCCCAGCAGCCCGCAGCCCGGCACAGGTGGGGATGGCAGTTTGCTGCAGTCCTGTCTGCGAGGGGGTCTGCCCGGGCTCTGCCTGCATCTTGAGCAGCAGACCGGCTCTAGCCAACGAGACTGTCGCCTGCGCTGGCTCAGGCCAGCCCGTGCTGTCTGCCAGCCGCTTGTTGCGCTGCTCTGGGGACGGGAAGCACACCCAGCCGGGGTGCCCATCTGTTGCAGGCAGCCAGTGGCAGCAGCTCGGAGAGCAGCCGAGCCTTGGAAATCGCCTGTGCTGAAGGGGCCGGGAGACCCTCTCTCGGATGGACCTTTGCAGCGAGGCGGCAGGATTTGTCAGAGCTGGTAGCGCTGTTCATCCCGTCACTTGCATCCTGTCACCCAGCACCGTACAGCCCTGCACTGCTTATCACGTCCGGGAAGAGGAGAGCTGCGGCACCCTCGGGGCTCAGTAAGCAGACCTCCGGGGCTGGCTTCCTGGATGCATGGCGAGCGTAGGTACCGCGTCCCCCGCGCGTGGCGCTCCCTCTCTGCCCGCCTGTGTCCTCGCGTGCGTGCGAGACTGATGCCGAGTGTCGCTTTGTTCTCCGGGAGCTCTCATTACGTTAAATACCCCAAGGCTGAACAAAATGTTCCTTCTCTCCGTCGGAGCTGTATGTTTTCTCCTTACATAACTTTTTCTTGTGATTTACAGAGAATGACTGGTGGAGGTGGTGCGTGCGTGTGGGCGTGTTCGTCGCTGTTCCCCTGCCGCGGCTGTCTCTGCTCCAGGCTGCCGGGCCGGCGGGGCTGCCGCACGCACGCCGGGGCCGGGGCCTCCTCCCCACCCTCCTACCCCGGCTCACGGTGCCCTCACCGAAGCCCAGTCTCAGCGAAGTTGCCATCCTCTGCCTTTCCTTTTTCCTTTCCCTGAGTCATCATTTATTAAATTTGACCTGAAAGCAGACCATGGGGGACGGCATGGGGGGGCCCTTGGGTGTGGGCCACGGTTTTGTCCTTGGGACCCTGTGGGCCACACGCACACTAGGGAGTGTCCGCCCCCTGCCGCAGGGGGGAGCTCTCCAAGGCCCACCTGTTGCTTATGTAACTCACTGGGGTACCTGGGAGAACCGGGAAGGCAGGGGAGGGGAGAGGTGATGGGAGACGGCCTTGCAGGCAGCTGGACACCGAGCTGATCTCTCTGGGCAACCACGGGAGGGGAGGCTGGGAACCAGGAGCCCCACTGCCGAGTGACTCTGCACAACAAGTGCAGCTGCAGCTGGAAAGTGCTAGATTCCGGACGGCACAGGCTTCCCCACCTCGCCCTCCACTGACGCTGCTGCTGCATGGGGCATTGAGCAAGCCGCTGCCTTTTCTATTTTCTTTCTTTCGTTTTTTTGCCTTACAATCCCCTTCCCCAAGCCACAGGCTGTGCTAGTTATGTCTGAAGAGAGCTCCGGCTGTGATTCCGGGTCCTTGAGTCCTGGTGATTGGGAGTGACCCGGGGGATCATGACAGAAGCACGAGGCTTGGTTGCGTCCGAATTTACAACCCAGGTGGAGAGGGGAGGTGGTATTACACACTTCAGGGCGCGTGAGCTAGCAGGGAACCGCGTAGGGACGGCAGGCGCCGAGAGGCAGGGAGAGACGTGGGGACACAGCCCGGTGGGACGGGAGCGCCCCGCTGAGTGCAGGAGAGGCCCCACGACATGAGTGCAGGAGGATCCCCGGCGCCCTTGGGTGTGGGTAGGTAGAGTCATGGAGACCGAGGCGGGTGGATCTCAGCCCATGGAGCTTCCCAGGGACGGGCCAGTGCCCGGGGGCGCACACACCCCAGCTCTGGCCAGAGGGGGCTGACTGAGGCACTGTGACGGGCCTCTCCAGGTCTGGGGGCTTCTCACCTTCAACCGCTTCCCCAGCTTGCATGGAAACATCCGAGGACTAGATAAATCTAAGGTGGTGTTTTTCGGTTTGGTTTTGGTTTTGGTTTTTTTAGCCCAGCATCAGGCCCCGAGACAGGCACAGACTCCTTTCTACAGAAGGGGAAACTGAGGGTTAAGTGGTTAAAGTCACTCAGTGAATAAAGCCGAAAACCTGGATGCTTAAGGTACCTGGTCTTCTTGCCTTCTTGCGTAAAGTGACAGAGGGGTTGAGCTGGGAGGAGAAGCCAGGTGTCCTGAGGCCCAACCTGGTCTTCTCGGTGGGCAGTGGCCTGGGAGGACGGAGGCTGGGTGGGCTGTCCCTTGGCCATGGGCTTTGTCCCTTTGCTGTCCCAGGCCCGGCTTCTCTTCAGGCCCCGTCCCCAGGCTGGTGTTAAAATCGACACTTTAGCGAGACAGACTCTGGAGTCCTGTGTGCTGGCCTTTTCGAGAAGAGTGAGGCGCTTGGCCGTGACCTCAGGTAGCGGTGCTGGGTCGCCAGAGGGTCCTGCAGACGCAGGCACTGGCTTGGGGCTCCGCTTCCGCTCAGCTGTTGGTAAAGGAACCCCTCTTGGATTTATCCGACCCGCTCACTGCTCTCTTTCAAACCGCAGACCTTTTTTTCCCTTTAAAAGTATTCAAGTCACTCCTCCCACCAGACGCCACCGAGACCAGCCAGGCAGGCAGCCTGTAGCGGGCAGGGCAATGGATGCCTGCACTTTCTGTTTTATGCAATACTTTTTATTAAGTTCAGTTAGTTCCTGCAGATTGAGCCAATCGATAACTCCCCATGTGGTCAGCCAGGGGCTTCATTTCTTAGGAGGACTGTCTCCACGTCACCTCTTAGACTGCTCTTAGCCGTCTGTATTTCGTATTTCGGTAACTATGTATTGACTGTGCATCCGGCACCAGGAGTGGTGCTTTCGTGGATGTTAATTTTCGTGACAATCCCAGGAGTTTTCTTTCTTTTACACAAGGAATTGGGGCTCCCCGAATTTGAATAATCTGCTGAGATTGCACGGCCAGTAAGTGGCAAACTGGAGTCCAAACTCGGGCCCTCTGATGCCTCCAAAGTTGTCCCTCCCACTGCACTGCGTGGGCCATGTGGCGAGTGTCTGGCCGTGAAAACTTTCACCTTGGCTGTCATTGTGGGCATGGTGGCTTAGCAGGAAACCGTAGTAGGAGCTATGGGCAAGTGGCCCGTTCAAGGCTCGCCATCTTCCCGGCCTCCTTAGGCTCCCGAGGGTGGCCAGGCTGTCCTGAGCCTCAGCACCCCACGGCAGGGCTCAAGAGCGCCCACCTCGAGGCTCTGCGTGCTTTCCAGCGAAGTTTTGGTCGGGCTCAGTGGAACATCTTCCCAGGAGCGTGGCATAGGCCCTAGAGCCCTAGGAGGGGTTTAATGTGAGACTGCAGGACTCTAACCTCAATTACTCAATTACAAATATGAGTTAAGAGAAAAATGTAATGGAATCACAAGCACCTGATGCCCAAGAACTCAGCCATGTTCCCTCTTAACCCCAGGGGCCTTTGGCACGGGACTCCCACCAGCTCGGTACCGTGAGCACATTAGTCCACATCCTGCGCCTGATTTTTCTTCTAAAAATGGAGACAGCCATACCTGCGTCACAGGACCAAGGGCCAGTTCCTGGCACATAATAGATGTTTAATAAACAGTCGGCTCCTGTCTTCAGGTGTGGCCTGCCCTGGCAGAGCCCAGCAGAACACCTTCCAGAGCAGTGCCTTGCATCAACTGGGTTTTCTGACAGAATTCTCTGGGTCTTGTCACTGACTGTTGGTCAGACAGCCAAGGTGGGAGGGCTTTGGGTGCCACAAGGTCCCTGTCGTCCCCTTGTTGCCTCAGTGCCCCCCGTCCTGTTCTCCACCTGTGCTAGGTGGTGGTCAAGCCCCACCCCCCCACACGTCACTCATCACTCGGGGACAAGGTCTGCTCTCTCAGCTGTCTTGCATCCCATTGTGGTCCTCCTGCAGGTCACGGGGAAGGTTCATAGGATCTCCCCGCAATCGTAAATCCCCCCACCCTGGGATTCCCTTGGCACCTCTCACCCTGAGTTGTAGCAGGAGGGTTGGATAGGGAGAAAGCGGAGGAAAAGCAAAGCCAGCGTTAGGTGTTTGTTTGGTTTTACTTTGTGGGTGAGGTTTGTGGTGGCATTTTGTTGTTTAATGTCTGGTTTTTAGGGGGTCTGCCACCTGCCCGGTACTCAGGGCTCGTTAGTCACCTGTGAGTTGGAGACTCGCCGTGCAGATCCCAGAAAGTAAGATGCAGACCCCCGCCAGGCCGTGGGAGTAGGACCGGCCACCTCCACCCCGCTGCAGGCAGTACGCACAGTCCCACTGCCCGCCGCCGCGTGGGGGGGGGGGTTGGCAACTTGGTGGGGGTCCAGGCAGCCCAAGGTGCGGCCTCTGGGCAGAGCGGAGGGCCGTGGAATTGGGGGGCCTTGTTCTCCCCCAGCCTGGTTTCCTTTTCTTTTTGGTCCGGGGCTCCTACAGTTTGTTTGCTCCCAGGACGGGGGTTCACTGCCTCTTGGAGCGAGAACTAGACACAGAATCAGGGGCTAAGGAGTGAGAAGGAGAAGCACCAAGCCTCGGAAAATTTTGTGGGACTTTTCTTTTGCTCATAACCCAACAGCCAATGCTTTTGACCTTAAATGCAGACGTTCTCCTTATCCGCAAGGTTGGCCACATCACATTCGGAAGTAGAGTTGGAGCTGACACTCATGAGCATCTGGGGGAATTCCGAGACTTCCCTGGAAGGCCCAGGGCCCACCTGGGGATGTCCACTGGGGGCGCTTGTGCTTGAGAAGAGGGGGGAAGGAAAAACAAAATACCATCCTCACTCAGTGTGAGGACGGTGCACAGAATCCACTTAACCAGGGTCCATAAGCGGCATGCATCTTCCATGACCCTCAGCAGGTGCGGGCTCTTGCCCTCTGCCTATGGGACGAAGAGTCCCCTTCTGGGATGAGAGTGGCTCTGGCCCCTGGACCCATGGCCGTGGCTCTGGCCCTGCCTTGGTTCTTGGGTGGCTGAGGGAGGGCTGTGGGTGGCCCTTTGTCAACACCGCAGCCATCAGGTGGTTAAATCCCACCCTCCCGTTCTTATCCAAGCAGGGAGATGTGCAGAGCCGTTTTTAGAAATGTTTTCACCAGTAAGCGTCAGAAGCCTGATTTCTACTTATCCAAAACAGTAAGTGACTAAAAGCCCTGTAATTGCCATTCCCTGAGGTTTCTAGTACCTAAGGCCTTCTCCACCCAGCCTGGCAGGAAAACAGAGGAGAACGTTCTGGATAACAGCACTGGCCCCCACTGGGGAGTGGGGCTCAGAGACCGGCTCAGCCTCCTGTGCCGGGGTTGCGAGGGAGCTGGCAGAGCTGGCAGGAGTCGGGGTGTGTCCTTGGAGGGGTTGCGTTTGAGAGCAGGAGTGGCACCGTCTGCGCCCTGGGAGACCAGCGTGAGGGCAGCCTGTGCTGAGGAGTTGGTGAGAGGAACCTGTAAGCCCGGCCCGCGCAGATGCCCCCGGCACGCGCCAGGTAGCTGCGGTCTGGGAATAACGAAGCCGGTTCCGGTCCTGCCGCAGCACATGGGTCCACAGGGTTTCTCCTCGGCCCCCTGCTGCTGACTCCGCGCCCTGCCAGGCGTGGCGTGGGTGGGAAGGGGCCGGGCTGGGCCAGGGCTGCATCTGTTTCGAATGGAGACCTGCTCAGATTCCGGAGCCCCCTGGTCCCTGGTGGGATTCGCCCTTAATGTCAGGCTGAGCCCCGAGCCAGTCACCTACCCAGAACCTGCCAAGCCTGGCTGGAAGCCAGCCGAGGGCATCTGCCGCCACCCACTCCCTCTGAGTCACGCCACGCTCGTCTGCTCAAATCCCAGAGCCTCAGACACGCTTGCTGGTTGGCCTCCAGACACGAGCTCCGGGGGGGCGGGGGCTGCGGGAGGTGCGGGGAGCATCGTGCTGCACCAGGCCTGGCCCGGCGGGGGGATCGCAGGCGCCCCACGAGGGGCCGAGGACACCCTGCCCGGTCCCGCAGGATGGCCTCAGGGAGCTGCCCCCAGCCTCGCCCAGACCCCCGCCAGGGACTGCCCGCTGCTCCTTCCCCTCCCTGGAGCCAGGGCCCCGGCCCACGGCCATCTGTGTCCCATAGTCTCAGGCTCAGCCCTGACGAGAGCCTTCAGAGGGAGGGGTGTTCTGGGGCTTCTTTTTTTTCCTGTTCACCTCTTCTCTTCCTTTTCAAAGCTCTCCATGGTCTATGGGGACCGTTTCCCCCACGTCTCCCGACTGGGGAGGAAAGAGCCACTCTGCAGGTTCACCTGCCACCTGAGCCAGACCCTCCCTGCTAGAGTCGACACTCCCGGGTCCCACCCTAGCCGCATTGGCACCCCCAGGTTATGTGCGCTAAGCACCGGCTTTGCAGGGAAGGGCCTCCTTTTCCCTGCTCTGTTATCGACAGAGAAGATTACAGACCTTCTTCTCCAAGGTCCTAGGTCCAACTCGTCACTGAGTCTAGCAGTTTCCCCCCAAATCACCTTCATTCAGGAAGAGAGGTTAAGAAAATCATCATACAGTTGCCAAAAAAAAAAAATCCTTAGAGTATTTTTCAATAATCCCAAATGCCTGGGTACTGTGGCTAATCCAGCTATGCCCGAATTGGAATGCTGTGAGAACACTAGAGTACTATCAGATATTGATATCAAATGCACTTGACAATGAAGGGAGCCTGAGCATCCGTCAGTGCTGCACTTAGAGCCTGGAGTGCAGCGAGTGAGAATAGCGGGCGGCCGGGCATGAGCTCGGCCAGCCGTGGTCGTCACGCCTGAACATGCACGGTCTTCTTGGGGCTTAGTGCTCCCTATATGCTTCCTTGGCTGGAGGGACAGGGGTGGTTTACAGGGAGAGAGTGGGGCCACATGGCCTCAGCCCCTTCCCCACTCTTCAGGCCTTGCCTGGAGTCCAGGGTCCCCACTGCAGCGCTCCCCAGACCCGCCTTCTCCCAGCACTTTTTTCTGTCTGACCATCATCTCCACCCCATCCAAAATCATCTCTTCTCTCCCCTAGGCCTTCAGGGTCTTCTTTTGACATTAGCTAATCCAGTAACCTGCTAATTCAGAGAAGGGTTCAGATTAACGAGTTCTTTCTCCTGGTCACCTTTGAAATACTGCCTGGACCCACAAAGGGGGCCCAGGAACACGCGACATACGCACTTGTGTAGGTTTGTGACAACTCACGCTGCCAGGGGTTTACCTTTGGGAGAAACTGGGCTTTTGGTGTCTAACAAATCTTTCTTCCTAGATCTGTAGCCACCGTGCCTCTAACCTGGGTTCTGGGAGGGACAACACTGGCCATTCCAGATCACGGGTGGGGCAGAAGGGACACTCACTGTGCCTTATCTGTTGGCGTACCAAGCCACAGTGCTTTGGCACCAAGGGGCTAATTGAAACCGGGGAATTTTGCTAACGAATAAAGTGTAATCGTCACCCCCAGCACAGCTGCTTCCTGAAAATTCCACTCCTACTGCATGAAAAAGCACATTCAACAATCCAGGATTAATAATGCAGACTTTTCCCCCTTTCTGTAGCTTGCTTGTTCTTCTCCCCCATGGGTGTGGTGGTGGTTGACTGATCACTGTCCGGTTGGCTTTATTGAGGTGTAATTTACATACAATAAACCCGTTCCAAGGACGCAGTTGGATGGGTTGTAATGAATGTACACAGTCATGCAAGCACCACCACACCATGGTCCAGAACATTTCTGCCACCTAGAGAAGGTCCCTGTGTCCCTATGCAGTCTAGCCCCGCCCCATCTGAGGGCTCCTGTGGGTGGGTTTGTGTATTCCGACACAGCGTGGATACTTCACAGGTGTTTGAGTGAGCGAGTCCCTGGCTTATTCACTTAACTCTAACATATCTTTAAATCCCTCCAAGACTCCTGTTTCCTCCCCTTCATCCTACGGTTTGAAAGACTGTCTAACAAGCATTTCGTTAATAATTTCCTCATTTAGTCATTTCTGATACCAGCCTCCCTGATCAGTGTCAGACAATCAACGTAACCAGAGCTGATAAAATTCCAGCCGAAAGCAGGGACTTGCTGTTCTGTTCGCCTAAGCAGTCACGGTTAAAGGTGCAACTTCTTTTCACTCCTCGAGTGACTGAGCACCCAGCCTCCACGGTGGCTTTTTGTCACCTCCCACCCTGGGCCAGAGATCCCCAACCTACATCACCCTTTGCCATTCTTGTTGTTTTGGTAAGTGAGGAAGTTAGCATGTGAGCCGTTTAGGAGCTTGCCCGGAGAGCACCCAGAAGGCTTTCTCAGTCTGTGGGGGTCTTCTCAGAGTCCCTAACTTCTTCACCAAGGATGTGGCGTGTCCGTTCATCCTGCCTCCCCGTGAACTGCCGTTTCTGCTGGTACATCTGGGATGGATCTTGGCAGACAGGAGGGTATGGCTGAATTTGCGTTTGCATAAAGAAGCCCCCACTGCATATGCACCAAAAGTGGTTCCTGTGGGGACACATGGCATGGCTGGGCCAAGGGTGGAAGAATGATTCTTCAATTATTTACCGTTTTGTTTTGACTTTTGAACCCAATGCATTTTATCTTATCAAAAGAAAGTTGGCTAGCATAGCCGGTGTCCTCAGAGTACTTACAGTCTGTACAGAGGTAAAATGTATATACAAATAGCAAATGGGCAACATGTAAGGGAGTGATTTTAAATTCCTAGGTATGAAAATGCAGTGCGGTAAAAGATCACTTTCAACTGGACTTTTCATCAGAAAAGTCGACCTAGATTTGTGGGGATCGAGCTAGTTCTTGGAAGATGCACAGGGACTGAGAGTGTGTCCGTGAACTCCAGCATGGGGGACACCACCTTAAATTCCTGTCCAGTCAGAGTGTTTTAATTTGCAAGCCATCACTATGAAGGAATGCTGGCTCTCTGACTGTTACCTTGAAAATCATTTGTATGTATGAACAGTAGCCTTCCACTCGTGTGAGTCATAACACTCCAGTTTGAGGAGCTCTGGTGGAAGAGGAACAAAGGCACCGAGGCTGTGCCAGGGGACAGTGCGTAGGTTTGGCCGTGGCAGGGGGAGAAGGTAAGGCCGGGGCCAGCGAGGAGCGAGCTCCGTCTCCTGCAGGCAGCAAGCAACCTCGGGAGGTTTGGCCAGCCTGGTCCCCGGGCAACGTTTGTTCTTTCCTCTAGGCCGGGCACGCAGACAAGCCAAGGGAGAACCCACCTACTGTGACCTTTTAGTGGCGCCCTTTACGCTGTGGAAATAGGGCAGTGTGCAGACTAAGAGGAGACAAAGTGGGGCCCTGGGCACGTCCCCTGGGCAGCTTCAGTTTTCCCTCTGCCTGTGGGGTTTCCCTTCCTTCTTTGTGGATGTCTCCAAGATCGGTGTGTAAAAACAGATCTTTGGAAAACGTCAGCTCCCTTCGGCCGAGCTGGAAGGCCAGAGGCCACTCACTGTGGGCACAAGGACCCGGGATGTGGCACCCGTGCTGGGAACGTGGGGGCAGGAGTCCCCAGGACTTCGTAGGCACCAGGGGCAGGGGCATGTGATCGGAAGGCTTCCCGGATCCACCGGTGAGAGCCGAGGGAGAGCACGGAAGGCCAGCCACGCCAGGGGCACAGACAGTCCAAAGGGATCCTCTGGCTCTGGGAATATCCCACGGGACCTGGCCCAGAACCTTCTATGCATTTTCAGAGAGAAATAAAGATCCCAAACCGCTCCAGCAAGGAGAAGATGGCAAATGCTGAGGCCACATCTCTTCCTGGTCCCGTCCTTAAACCAGGCCCCAGGGAGGCTGGGAGACCAGGACACGGCAGGGACCAGGCCCTGCTCACACCGGAGGGTCTCAACTCTGTCCTAAGAGATGGTGGCTTTTAACCCCACTCCTAGGGTGGGAGAGGCAAGCCTTTTTTCTCTTTTCCTTCCTTGAAAAAACAAAGCCACGAATAACCCCGTTTTTTGAACCTGACTCCCCACTGGCACAGCAGCTGGTCCAGAAGTCTCTGCCCCTCTGGGGACTCTGGCCTTGCATCTCAGCAAGTTTCTTCCCTCTCCTCCTTATGTAACGAGCCCCCTCTCCCCACCAGAACAGAATGGGTTTGTTGGCAGCGACAGAACGAAAATCAGGAAAACCTAGCACATTCCCTCGTTCGGATCCGTCGACGCCGTGGTCTGCAGCCCGGAGTTTCCACCCGGGAAGCGCAAGTTATCTGCACCTGCGTGTCTCCCCATGTAACGAGCTGCCCAGGGGCCTGGTGACGTGTCCTCACCCCCGACCTTCCGAGTCCACCCCGTGACTCCAGTGTCCGTGGCCCCTACCTGGAGCACGGAGGCAAGAGCCCTCGGTCCTCACTGCCCCCGCCTGGGGTGGAGGGGGCTGGGCCGGAGATGGGGACCTGGGTTCTCAGGCCCTTCTGCCAGCTCGCTTGCTGCCTGCCCTGGCATGGCAGATAATCTCTGCGAGTCCCTTGCCTCAGTTGTCTGTCTTCTCTCCCTGAATGCTGAGCCTCGGACCAGATCCCATCGGCCTTGTGACCCTGAGTTGGAGCGTAGAGTGCGCCTGCTCCCCGTGTTCTGGAAGGACCCAGAGCCGTGGACACCCCCGTTCCCAAGGGGACCAATGACCACAGTGTCTCCGAGGAGCCCCAGGCAGGCCCTCAGCTACGTCACAGGCCTCTCTTGTCTCCTGTAGTCACGACCCAGGGTGGTGGCCCAGGCTCGGCATGGTAAGACACTGGCTGGCAGGTGAAATTAAGGCCATCTCCAGCCATTTGCCATCATTCCTTTTAAAAAAAAAAATTAATAGACTTAGAGTACTTTAAGGTTTACAGAACAATTGAGCAGAAGGAACAGAGGGTTCCCGTGTGCCCCTCCCCCCTCCCTTAGTAACGGTTTCCCTGTCGTTGGGTCTTGCATTGGTGTGGTCCGTTTGCTATTAGCTGAGGTCCACGGCTCACTCTTGGTGTCGTGCATCTGTGGGCTTTGACAGGTGAGTGATGACCTATGTCCACCGTCACAGGATCACCAGGGTCGCGTCACCGCCCCGCACGTCCTCAGTGCATCCTCCCCCCTTTGCCCACGCCCGGCTGCTGTTCCTCCCCATCGGTGTGTCCTGTGTCTCCCCAGAACTGCTCACACCCCTGGGCCTGAACGCAGGGTGCACCCCCGGGGAGCCTTTGAAGGTGTAGTGTCGTCACGGTGCCAGGAGGAGGGATGGCCTGGGACAGAAATTGGGTTGGAAGGCTTTGGGGGAGCTCTCAGGCTGAGCCTCAACACCTCCCGTTGCAGGTGGGGAAACTGAGGACTAGGAAGTGAGTTTCCAACTGACACGGCTGGTGAGGGGCGGAAATCCACGCTCAATTCATCTTCTTTTATAACTACAGGAGCTAAGTTAGTAAAAAGGACTGAAAAATAAAAATTTAAAAGAGTGCGTCATACGACCATGTTGCCCTGAGACGGATTCTGGCCCAGAATCCCAGGAGGGCTGTCCAGTGCTCCCAAACACCTTCTCATCCTACCCCGGAGCTGCCTGGGGTGTGGCCAGCAGCCCTCGAGGGCCCTGCCCGGAAGAGGCGGGGCAGGCACCTTCTCGGGGCCCGCTGGTCTCCGTGAACCTGCTGCTGTTGAGACTTTGGCTGGTGCCCCTCCGTGCAGAGTGTCTGCCAACCTTCAACCTGAAGGGGTCATGACGGATTCTGCGGGTCCCAGAAAGTTCTTGGAGCAGGTGTACCCCCTCACGGCCACGATCACAGAGTGAAGGGTTCCTGGGAGGTAACAAATGCACACAAAGCCAACAGATGACAGAGGAGGGCGATTCGGAGCAAGGGCCTTGTCCTGCCACTGGAGACACGTTGCAGAGGTGCCCACAGAGCCTAAATCAGAGGACGGCCTCACAGAGTTACGACCAAGCGCCCACTGCAGCCAGGCCCGTGCTGGGGACTCCTAGCCTCCTTACAACGCTCGTGAGTTGGAAACATAAGCCAGAAAGCCAGATGGGCTGGAAGGAGTTGAGGTGATAGAAAGAGACCTCAGCCACAAGCTGCAAGGCCAGGATTTGGTTCTGGGCTGGGTCACAACTCACCATGTGGCTTTGAGCAACGTGGTTGAATCTCGGGCGTCTGTCCCCACCTGTACCATAAGGGACCGGGAGGATTTCTGTGACCACGTCCACCGCAGCATCCTGTGGCTGCTGGAGACCAGGGCGTCTGCAGCATGCCTGGCCCGGACGGGTGGGTGGTGGCCCCCAAGAGAATAACTGCTGGTCTTGGTCTGGGGTACCCTGGGGAGGCTGGGGGCGGCGGGAGCCCAGCTGCCCTGGTGGGTCAGAGTGGCGGTGCCCACCAGTCAAAGGGCTGGGAGGGCAGATAGGTGGGTGAGAGGTGAGGAGGTGAGGGAGCCCCCGTCCACACAGTGGTGGACAGGCGTGGTGCTCTGCCTTGATGGCTCTTTATGTTTCTGGACACAGAGTACAAAGGGGGATCAGAGGGCTTCAGCCAGGAGAGGAAGCGGCCGGTGCTCATCATTCTACATTTCTGGTGACATCTTGGGGACAGAAGGTCAGCTTCTCTCTGTCCCTGAAATCCATCCGCACAATGTCAAAGCTCATCTAATGCAGCACTGTTCAGACTTTGTCATCCACAGTGCAATGAGAAGTACATTTTATTCTACGTGTGTGTGTGTGTGTGTGAATAATTGAGACACGGGTTTATGCAACGAGATGCATTCTTATTTTATTCTGATTCAGTTTTTGGTGGCTGTGCAACCCACTAAACTGATTTCATAATCCACCAATGGGCTGGGACTGTTAGTGTGAAGAGCTGTGGCCAAATGCCTCTGGAGCGGCCGGTTCACCCTGGGTGAGGTGAGGGTGGACGGACAGACAACAGCACCTCTATTCACTGCTCTCGTGTGCAGCCGCGCTTTCTGGTTAAGTCCTTGGTATTTCCTTCTTCCTCTAAACTCCTTGTACGTTTTTATCGCGACCTGCCTGGCACAGAGCAGGTGAGTAAAGCGACAAGAAGGGGTGGGGGGAGTCGTCAGGCACCTGCAGAAAGTGTTTGGGAAGAATCTTTCCGTCTATGTTTTTATAAACACAGACCCTGGATGTTCTGAGAGTCCTGAGTTGAAAACCATGGCAGACCTCAGCTCCGGGCCAAATCCCAAAGCCACGTATTGGACGGGTGGTTGGGAACAGAAATGAGATGTCTCTGAGCCCTGGCTTAAAGGTTTCTGTTCTTGCACAAGGTCCTCCTAAGTAGAGCAGGGTGTGTCTTGGGGCCAGCCAGCAACTCTGTGACCTTACGAAAATGTTCCCTGGGTGGCCAGTTTTATTCTAGTTCGTGGTGTCCCTCCTGTGGTTTGTCCTCGAGCGTAAACAAAGACCGTTTGATTTTTACCCTGTGGGGCACTGAGGGGGGTGTGGCTCCGGTCTGGCCCAGGGCCACGTGGGGCCTGGTGGCAGAGGTCACAACCAGGGCATCTCCCAGTCCCCTTGTCGTTGGGTTTTCCCTTTAGAGCGTGGGGGGCCCAGCTGGCCAGGCCGGGTGTGGAGTCGCATGGGCCTTACCCGTGTCCTGTGTGCCCACAGAGGGCTTGACCCCACGGTGACCACGGTCTGGGCTGGTGGCTTGGCATTTTATTTGCGAGTAAATAAACCCTCTGCAGAAGCCCAGAGCTGGCTTTCTTAGACCCTGTCTTAGTAGAGTTGTAGGATGGCGGAGCTGAAAAGAGCCCTAGAAACCGAGGGCCGTCCCTCCGCCCACAGAGGGCCCCGTTTGCCGTCTGTCCTTGTCTTGAGAAGGCAGCGCCCCCAGATAGCCCATCTGGATGCCGGCCCGTGCGCCGAGCTGTCCTCGTTGTCCACACCCAGCTTGTGACCGTTCTGCCAGCGTCGGTTTTGTGGAGGGAAAGACACACTCCCCTCGGGCCCCTGCGTGTCTGGGGCCGTGGAGAGGCCAAGCGACCCGGAGGTGAACGAGACTCGGCCCTCACCGTCCTCGGACTGCCGGGGCGTCGGGGGAGGGAGGTGCTCAGGTGTGACGCGGCGTGACGAGATGCCTCGGCGGACACGAGACTTCTACCCGACGTGTGACATGAGGATGGTTGCCCCGTGTCACGGATGAGGCCCAAAGAGGGCGGGCCGGAATGCGACCCTGGCGCTTTTCTCAGCCTGCCGCCCCCTCCCTGTGTGGTGAATGTGCTTCCATGACGGTAAAATAGACCAGTCGTCCGCTTCCTGTTTCTCGCCAAACGCTGCCGGGATGGGACAGCCTTTCACACCCGTCTCCGCCCAGCTGTTTCCTTCGGGTGTTGCCCTCGGCCCGCGGCACAGGGAAGGCTCCTCGCTCGGTGTGGGCAGCCCACCGGCCAGGTGAGCCACCCCTCTTGCCTCTGCGCAGCGGCCGCCTGTCCCGCCCTGCCCCCACCTCCCACCCCAGCAGCCCGGGCGAGGGGCCGGGGCTGTGCCAGGTGGGGTCTCCAGAGAAACATCCAAGCGGAGATATTCCCAGTAAAATATATACATATATATATATCCTACTTTGTTCTTAAGATGGTGTTCTTTTGTGTGTTTGTTTGTTTTTTGAGACAGAATCTCACTTTGTACCCAGGCTAGAGTGAGTGCCGTGGCGTCAGCCTAGCTCACAGCAACCTCAAACTCCTGGGCTCAGGCAATCCTCCTGCCTCAGCCTCCCGAGTAGCTGGGACTACAGGCATGCGCTACCATGCCCGGCTAATTTTTTCTATATATATTAGTTGGCCAGATAATTTCTTTCTATTTATAGTAGAGACGGGGGTCTCGCTCTTGCTCAGGCTGGTTTCGAACTCCTGACCTCGAGCAGTCCGCCCGCCTCGGCCTCCCAGAGTGCTAGGATTACAGGTGTGAGCCACCTCGACCGGCCAATATAGTGTTCTTAATCTATATTAACAAGATATAGCCACATAACAATGATTATCAGAAACATAACATTTAATAAATACGCTTAGATGTGTATTAGTGTTAATACACATGAGAGATGTGTTTTACGCAGTTAGCTCGGGCCTCTGTGGGGACTGGAAAGTCCTGACTGTGCTGGGCAGACTGACAGCTGGACACTCGCACAGTGGCGGCTGCAGTCTTGAAGCAGGATTTCTTCTTGTTCCAGAAACCTCCGTTTTGCTCCTCAGGCCTCCTGCTGGTGGCATGAGGCCCATCCATATCACAGAGGCCGATCTGCTCAACTCAGAGCCAGTGGGTTGTCGATATTAATATTAACCACATCCACAAAATACCCTGGACGGGTGTCTGGTGGAACCAGTGGGTGCCGTGGCCTTGCCAAGGCGGTGTGTAAAGTTAACCGTCACCAACTGCAGACGGGACGGGGCGCTGGAGCCCCGAGCTCCTTGTTCCGTAACCACCACCCCTCCCTGGCTGGGACCTGCAGCCCCCCCCTCGGGGGGGTCTCGGTGGCTCTGGGTTGAGGGTTGAGGCAGGAGCCCGGGCCGTGCCTCCTGCTATAGCTGGTGGCCCTCGGGAGGTGGCTGCACAGACT